ATGGAAGCCTTTGCGTAGTCAATAAAGCACAGGTAAACATCTTTCTGATATTCTCTGCTTTCAGCCAAGATCCATCGGACATCAGCAATGATATCCCTCGATCTATGGCCTCTTCTGAATCTGGCTTGAACCTCTGGAAATTCTCTGTCAATGTCTGCTTGCAGCGTTTCTGTATTACCTTTAGTACAACTTTACTCGCATGGGATATCGAAGAGATTGACCAATGATTTCCGCATTCTGTTGGGTCACCTCTCTTTGGAATGGACACAAATACGGATCTCTTCCAATCAGTCGGCCAAATAGTTGTCTTCCAAATTTCTTGGCATAGATGAGTGAGTGCCTCCTGCGCTGCCTCACTTTCTTGAAAGATTTCAATTTTCAGTCCATCAATTCATGGTGCCTTGTTCTTTGCCAATTCCTTCCATGCACCTTCTTCCTTCAGTATCATTGGCTCTTGATCATATGCTACCTCTTGAAACAGTTGAACATCAACCATTTCCTTTTGGTACAGTGACTCTGTGTATTCCTTCCAACTTCTTTTGATGCTTTCTGCATCAAAAAAGTACAGAGTAATGAATTCTTTTGACAAGAGTGATTTTGTTTTCTAAACACAAGAAATACACCTGTGTATTTTGCAGCAATAAATTGTTCAGCTGCTTTCTCCTTCCCATAAATGATTTTAACTTTTTCTCATAGTTTTTTTTTTTTCTTTTTAAATAGGCTTTATTTTTTAACAGTATTAACTTTTACAGAAAATCTGCAGATAGTAGGGAGTTCCCATATATCCTGCTATATATTTCCCTTTTGCTAAAATCTTACATTACTAGGTATGTTTGTTACATTTATCGAATGAATAAGGATATACTATAATTGATTAAAGTCAATACTTCATGCAGATGTCCTTAGTTTTTACTGAATTGTTTTCTTCTTTCTTTTCCCAATAGTAAAAGCATTTACTATCAAGTGAATTGGGGAACAAAAGGTGCTTTAAATACTATGTATTTTCTGAAAGGCCGAGAGTATATAGTGGGTGCCCCACCTCTTTCCTTTGTGTTCATCATCTTGGTGCATTACTGTAAGATGACGGCACCTCCTTTCTTGTCTTCTTAATGACCTATTGCTTTCTTCCTATGTGGTGTTCTTGACATCATTCCACAAGTCTTCTGGTCTTGGTCATTAGTGTCTAATTTATCAAACTTATCCTTGAGAGCACCTCTAAGTTCAGATGGGATATATTCACGGACCTATTTTGGTTCTCGTGGACTTGTATTAATTTTATTCAGCGTCAGCCTGGACTTTATATATGAGCAATTGCTGGTGTGTTCCACAGTCTGCACCTGGTCCTGTTTTGGCTGATGATTTGGTGTTCTTCCACCTCCTTTCCACAGATGTAGTCAATGTGATTTCTGTGTATTCCATTTGATGAGGTTCATGTGGATAGCCATCTTTTACAGTGTTTAAAAAGGTAATTGCAATTAATAAGTCATTGTCTTACAAAATTCTACTATTTGATTTCCAGTATCGTTTCTATCATCAAAGCCTTTCTCTTTGTCTACAACCTTTGCATTACCATTACCAGTAACTATCATATATCTTGATTACATGTTTGATCAATTTCCGACAGAAAAAGTTGGCAGAATTCTTAAACATTATCCTCACTGGCTTTACTGGTAGAAGTGTCAAGTTGAACAATAGTTGTATTAACTAGTCTTCCTAGGAGGCATATGGTTATTATCCTATCACTGGCAGTGTTGTACTATAAGATAAATCTTGAGATGTTCTTTTCAAAATGGTTAATACCAGTCCATTTCAGCTCACTAATGCCTATGATATCAATGTATATGTGTTCCATTTCATTTTTGACAACTTCCAATTTTCCTAGATTCATAATTCATACATTTCACATTCCAATTATTAATGGAAGTTTACAAGTTTTCTTCTCCTATTTAGAGTTGTACACATCTGCAAATAAAGGTCCCAAAAGCTTTACTCCATTCGTGTCATCATAGTCCAGTCTATTTTGAGGCAGCATCTCTTCCCCAGTTGTATTATGAGTGTCATCTAACCTGAGGAGCTCATTTTCTAGCACCATATGACAGCATTCTGGTGCTCTTCATGTTTCAATATTCAATATTCTGGTAACATTTCACAATGTTCCAATGCTATTCATAAGGTTTTCAGAGACTATATTCTGAAACTAAATTTTGTTGTTAAGTGTCGTCTGGTTGGTTCTGACCCACAGCGACCCTGTGTAGGAGTTCTGAGGAGTGGCTGGTGGGTTTGAACAGCCAACCTTAGGGCTCAAACTGACCTTGTGGTCCAGCGCATTATTCTCCAGCTCTACACCAAGACTCCATGCACCATCCATTAAATTACTTAATAAAGTGAATGTAGTTGTTGTTGTTAAGTACCGTGGAGTCGCTTCCGACTCACAGTGACCCTGCACAGGATTTCCAAGGCTGTAAATCTTTATGGGAGCAGAACACCTCATCTTTCTCCCGTGGAACTGCTGGTAGTTTCTAACTGCTGACCTTGAGGTTAGCAGCCCGATTCGTAACCACTACGCTACCAGAACTCCTAACAAAGTGAATAGAGGTAAATAATGTTAACAAGAGTTCAAGAAGAGAACTATAATCACTGTAATGACCTGATATGTATAATCTGTTGAATGTGGGGCTGAAGATCTGTTCTATAAACCCTCATTCAATTCACAATAAATAGTTTAGGAAAAAGCACCAGAGATGATCCCAGCATTTGAAATCTTTTTTCCTGAAAGCATTTCTTTTTATAGAAGAATCACCTATGATATTCAACTGCAGTTCTCACAGTATTCAGGAACAAAAGGAGAGAAATTATAGGCCCACAAAAGAGGGGGCTTTTACTGGCAACCTACAATAAGCAGTCTCAGATGGTACATACTCTCAGAATGAAGATAAATCAAAAAGTAAACCTGTCTTCAAACCAACTAACTTCACTCACAGAGCGAGCGAGGTATCTTCACATTTTCATTCATACCTAACAGAAAAGATCCCAATCATGCAGGATTATAGGTAAAAGGCTTAATACTGTCTTTAAGCTTGAAACTTGGAATAAAATCATCATAGACTGTGTGGTGCTGTAGGATAAGCACTCAACTGCAAGGTCAGTTATTCGAACTCACCAGTTCCTCCTTGGAAACCCTATACAAGGTCGCTGTGTCAAAACAGACTTGACAACACTTAACAATACAATGACCAAAGTAAATGAGAGCTATCTTGGATGAAAGGCATTATCATCAAAGCTATCAAATTACTTTTAGAAATAACTTTTCAATATAATAACCAGAACACACAGTTAACCAGTCTACATGAAAGCAAACTAGAAATACTGTATAATAATGGAAGCCAACCTAGAACTTAAAATGATGTATTTGATGTGAGAAATAGCGCAGCAGAACTTTCAGAACATAAAAATACAACAAACAAAATTCAGAATGTAATGGATAAGTCTATAAGCAGAGCCTACACAGCTGAAAAAAGAATTAACTGTAGATGACGAGAAAATACATAAAATGTAGCAGAGAAAAAAATAGATTGAAAGTATAAGAGGATACCAACAGTGAATACAATATAAAGATCTAATATATACTGGTACTCTGGAAGACAAAAATCAATGATCTCATAATGGCTGAGAATACTACAAAACTGATCAAAGATACCATGCAACACATTCATATCTAGAAGTCCCTACCATAATAAATAAAAAGATACCTATTGTTAGAAAAAGAAGCCCTAGTAGTGTAGTGGATTAGGTGCTGGGCTGCTAACCACAAGGTCAGCAGTTTGAATCTACCAGGTGCTACATGGGAGAAAGAAGAGGTTTTCTGCTTCCATAAAGATTTACAGCCTCAGAAACCCTATAAATGGCTTCTGTGAGTTGGAACTGACTCAATGGCACACAATCACCATCATTCTTAGACAAAGAGAAAAAGAAAACTTTAAAAGCTCTCAAATGAGAAATACAAAAATAGATGACTTTCAAAATACGTTGAGACTTTTAAAAAACAATGAAGTGAGAAGTCAGTAGACTATCAATGATCAATGTGCGGGGTGTGTGTGTGCGTGTGTGTGTGAAGGTAGGGGTGGGTGATGGGTGAGATGAAGAGTAATGCCAACATAGAATTCTATAATTCTTTACAAGTAAAAGCGTTCACAAAGACCAATGATTTCTTTAAAACAAACTAAAACCCAAGAGTTTGATACCTGCAGATGCACTGATGCTCACCACAAGTACGTTCTCTAGAATGTACTTTAGGCAAAAGAAAAATGATCTCAGACAGAATGTATGGGATTGAAAAAGGAATAAAAGCAAAGGAAGTATGCAAAATGAGAGTACATTTAAATAAGGATAAATGAAACACTAATATTAACATCTTGTGGGATTTCAAAAATATACTTACAATTATAATACACAACAATAACAGGAAAGTTATTTTAAGATTTTTTTGTATTGCATCAGAGAATAAAAATATTAATTACCAATGTTGTCAAGTGCTGTCGAGTCGGTTCTGACTCGTTATACTTTAATAATTTAACGATGCAAGTCATAATATCTGAAATAATCACTAAAATGACAAAAACATAGCTTATTTTCCAAAATAAATATGGAAACTGATATGTAAAACCTAATCAGTTCAAAAGAAGATCTCATTGTGGTAAACTTGTTAGGAGATTGTGTATAATACAAATCAGGATAGTCTAGAAGGCTAGTTGTTTGTTGTCATTGTTAGGTCAGAGTTTTAAAGAAAATATTTATAGCTAAAGAAAATCAGGATAAGAAAATACTTTAAAATCAAAAACAAAAATTTCAATCGCTATTAAAAATGTACATGCAATAATAGTGTATATATGTATATGCTTTGTACTTTTGAGTTTTACCCCTTTAAATTATGACCAAAACCTCATTTCAGTTTAGCCATCTAAATGTCCATAAATGTACAGCACCAAAAGATTAATGTGTACCTTGTTGTTCCTCCTTTATCTTCTCTTCATCCTCACTAGAGGAAGCTAAGTAGGCTTGAAAATCCATGTCCAAAAGCTCTTCCTTTTTAAACTTCCTGTTAAGTGTTGTAATTCTCTCATGATCTGTCTCATCCCAAGTGATCTCCACCTTTCACCAATGAAAAAGCAGAAATAAAAAAATAAGAATAGGAATGTCAAAAACCTGAACTTGTTAAAGAATAAATATTGTTACTTGGATGTTTGCCAGTATATTACGAAACATGTTGTTAAGAGGGTGGGTTTGAACTGCAGACCTTGTGGTTCACACCAACCTTGTGATCTAGTGCATTATCCTGCAGCACAACCAGGACTCTAGTCATCACATTATTGTTGTCGTTAAATGCCGTTAAGTCAGTTCCAACTCATAGTGAACCTGTGTAGGGTTCCAAGGTGTAGCTGGTGAGTTTGAACAGACGACCTTGTGTTTCAATTTGACCTTGTGATCTAGAGCATCATCTTGCAGCACCACACCAGGACTCCACACATCACAATGTTGTTGTTAAGTGCTGTGGAGTTGGTTCTGATTCATAGTGACCCTGTACAGGGTTTCTAAGCAGTGGCTGGTGAGTTTGAACTGCTGACCTTGTAGTTCAAGCTGACCTCACGGTCCTGTGCTCTTATCCCACAGCACCACACACCAGGACTCAAGCCATCACATTCGAGGTGAGTTAAATGTTTGACCAAATATAGCAGACTAATTTTTAACCTGATCATTTTGTATGGCCCATGAGTGACATTATAAATTGTGGCAAAAGCAAGGTTTCCAACCCCTGCTCTACAGGGTCTCCATGAGTTGGAACCAACTTAGTGGCACTTAACAACGTTATTTTTATATTTTTGGGTCACATCTGCAGAAAAAATTTCTGTTGTACATTAAAATTGCACTAGTTTTAATAGATTTGAGGAAATCTGTTACTTCCTTCCTCTTATTCTAAGATAGCAATAATTGATACATTACTTATTCAAGAACCTAGTTAGTTAAGAACAACAAAAAAGCACTTGTTGCCATCCCATCAAATCTGATTCATAGGGACCGAGAGGTTAGAGTAGCTGTGCCCCCATGGCGCCCCGAAGGCTGTAAGCTTTATGGAGGCAGAGTACCACATCTCTCTACCATGGAGTTCAAATCGCCAACCTTTAGGTTTGCATGAGTGCTGTAACCGTTATGCCACCAAGGATTTTTACTTTGATAAGATAGGACAGGAAAAAGAAAACATTGGTAAATAACTAACTCAGGCTTAAAGGTTTAACAAAAATATGAAAATGAGTTCAAACAGATGTGGTAGGTAAAAATACATATGGATTTATGTCCCATTTTTATTTATAATTGTGCCTTAAAACTGTCAATGTCTTACATTTCTAGATGCAATAAGTAGTTAACATAAGAAAGTCTCTTTTTTAAAGCAATACAATACAGCAACACATTTTAAAAAGTTAAGTAGTACCGTTGATGTTCCCATGGCAGCAGATGTGAAATACTTTGGTTTATATGCTGTTAAGTCCACGTCTGAGGCTACATCCTTGGGCTCATCATCAAAAGTATTATCATCTGGTATAAACCTAAGAAGCAAAGTGAAAATACATTTACTTAAACATATGCTGTAGTGATAAACAAGCATTTAGATTCTCTTGTAATTAGCTGTAGTTTATATGTACATACATACACTATAAAAGCTTCTGCAGAACACGCATGCAAAATAAAGAAGCAAACAATGTTACAAAAAACCTTGGCACCAATTTTAGGAACTTGTTAGACATACAAATCAGTAATTTCATTAAATTTGAGATATTCTATGTAGTAAGAAGTTTTGGATTAGAAATTAGTTGGTATGAGTCAAATGCAAACACAAGTGGGCCTTTCGTATTTCACACGTGGGTGTTACTGTAAATAAGACTAAAATATTTTAACATTATCTTACAGAAAAATGTTTCCCCTACAAATAACTAGATGGTAAATGTTCTAGCCACTGTTGTTAAGTACTGTCGAGTTGGTTCTGACTCATAGCAACCCTGTGTAAAGTTTCTGAAGAACAGCTGGTATGTTTGAACTGCTGACCTTGTGGTTTGCAGTCCAGTGCTGATCCTACAGCACCACACCAAGAGTCCAAGCATGAGAGTAAGGAATAGATATCACAAAGAGTGAAATAATTCATAGAATATTATTTCTATACAAAAAAAATTTTATACACTCTAATTAGAGTTCATTAGGCCTCTATCGTTTCCTTCAGCTAGACTTTGGCCCAGGATCGGGCAGTGTTTTGTTCTGCTGTGCATAAGGTCGCTATGAGTTGGTACTGACTCGATGTCACCTAACAACAACAGGAGGAGAAAACTACACACCTGAGATAAATGACCTTAAATGTTGTTAACATGCATGATTTTATATTTTTGGGTAGATGACAAATTAACAGGGTGGCAGCAGAAAACTCAATTTTCTTTTCTTATGTATCGTGTGACAAAGTAAGTGTGTAATTTTTTTTTGGTATGGTAAATGATTGACACTTTCTTCAATCAAAATTTATCACAAAACTGCAATACTACAATTTTATCGTTGTTAAGTGCTGTTAAGTTGGTTCCGACTCATAGCGACCCTGTAAAGGGTTTCTAAGGAATGACTGGTAGATTTGAACCGCTAACCTAACAGTTAAAAGTCCAGTTCTTATCTTACAGTGCCACACCAAGACTCCAATGCTGCAATAATGTATGGCAATGTCCCAAAAAGGAAACAGAAAATAAAAAAATAATGCAGAAACGAACAAGCTAACATGAATTTATGATACTTCAAAAGTTTGAATCCTCATAAATGTTTAGTTACTAATACCTGAACATTCAAGGAGCATTGGGAGTGTAGTGGTTAAGATTCAGGCTGCTAATCTCATGGCCGGCAGTTCGAAACTACCAGCGATTCTGTGGGAGAAAGATGAGGCTTTCTGCTCCTGTAACGACTTACAGCCTTGGAAATCCTATACAGGGTGGCTATGAGTCGGGGCTGACTCCACGGCACATAATCACCACCACCTGAACATTCAAAACAAGTGCCTCCTATTGAAATCATTAGCAGAAGGGAAGAAAATACCTTATCTGGTAACATCATGTCTTTCTTCCTGTATATTTAAACATGTTAAAATCTTATCCATGACCGTCGATTCCACAATTTCTTTTTGAATTTTTCTACTGGTCCACGAATCTTTGAAGCATGAGGTCTCCGTGACTATGAAATGATGCATCTTTTTCTGAAACATTTCTTTGATAACAAACCTTCTAACAAATCTTGAATCCAAAGAAGTGGTTTTCTATTAAAATGTCATCACAGAATGATTTAATAAACTCAAAAGGACTATGCTAATTTCCTCAGAATTGACATTCACAACCATGTAAGTTTTTTTTTTTAGCTCTGAATCAGTGAGACTGAGCATGTAGTGAAAATGTCCAAGTATGAAAACAATGTTTCAGCGCCATTCCCTCATGAAGCAGCATTTAGAACAGAGCTGCCAGCAGACCTTTCTGTGATAATGGCAATATTCCATTATCTGCTCTGTCCAACATATGACCACTGAGCATATGAAAATGTGTTTTGTGCAATAAGGAACTGAATTTTAAATCCTTAATAAAACTAAAATTGCCAGATGAGACTACTTGTATATAAGAGACCAGACTTAGTGGGACCAGTCTATTAGCAAACTCCTCTGCCACCACTCAATGCTTTTTAAAAAGTTACTTCACCTGGTTCCTATCTTTTAAAGCAAGTTGCAAAGAAGTATCACTGCATATAACCCATCATCCCCAAATGCACAGCTGACATGTTTGTTGCTGTCAAGTTCCATGGACTCGGCTCTGACTCACATAGAGCAGAGAAAGTCTCACCTTTCTCCTGCACCTTTTGGTCTGCTGTCTATAGAGCTTATCCTACAGAACCACCGCACTCCCAGCTGATATGTTTGACAGAACATAAATGTGAGGGAGATTTATACGACTGCATTTTCTGAGTTTTCTCTGTTAGCAGTGATGTTCCATAGGATTGTTGTTGTTGTTAAGTACCGTGGAGTCGGTTCTGACTCGTAGCGACCTGTACAGGGTTTCCGAGGCTGTATATCTTTACGGGAGCAGAAATCCTCAACTTTCTCCTGTGGAGTCACTGGTAGTTTTGACTTGCTGACCCTGAGGTTAGCAGCCCGATTCGTAACCACTAGGATTGAGTTAATCAAAAAGCAAAAAGTCCTCTCAGCTTCAATATTTTACTTTTAATAATCATGTTGTACTGTAAAATTACATTATTAGCACACACCATGGATTACCTTAGATCTATGAAAGAACAGCTACTTTCAAATTCCAGGCCATCACAATCCTCATAAATTTTACTGGCTGTTTCAGGAGAATCACAGTCGACGACTGCATAGTAGTACTTCAGTCGTTTGAATTGGTAATCTCTCAGTTTTTCTCTAGATGCCCTAAAGGGGAAAAAACTCATTAAACTTACTTGTATAGGACCATACACAACCTCTCCCTTATAAAATAATTAATGCAAGTATTTCATGAAAAATACAAGGTGCTTCACAGAAAAAGCCCATTATTTTTTAATTCCATTCTTCCATAAACTTTTTGAAGTACCTCAAATAAAATAAGCTAGCTTTCATTCCTAACCATCTTTCCTTCATGACTTTGCCTGTATGTGCACTAAATACGTATGTTTGTTCAAGTTATTATTTTGGAAAATTACAGACTTTAGCTATAGTGATTATAATTCAATGTCTATAAAAGAATTACATGAGCTAAATAATTTTATTTCTCAGAAGTTTCTTTTTCTAGGTACCACACAGTACCATCTCTAGTAAAGCCACTGGACAGTATTATAAAATGTGCTAGAAAAACATTAGCTATTTTTATATCTATATAATCACTACGATATTCCTGATACTACAAAATGTTTTTCTAGTTTCACTTAACTACAACATATTTTTTAAAGATCTTTATATTTGTCCTCTTCTTCCACTAATCTATTTAACCATCTAGATTTTTAGTAAGTATACATATAGCTCCACCTAGTGGTCAAAAACTTCTTTTCCCTTGTAATTATTTGTATAAGGAGCTCTGGATAGGGCTGCTAACCTCCGGGTCAGCAGTTTGAAACTACCAGCTGTTCTGCAGAAGAACGATGAGGCTTTCTGCTTCCATAAAGATTTACAGCCTCGAAAACCCTGTGCAGGGTCGCTATGAGTCAGAACTGATTCCATGGCACATAACAACAACTATTATTTGTATATAGAATTAAGATAAAGAATTTAAAATTTTACTTTTTTTATTTAACCCTCACAGATGAGAAAACAAGTATTTTGAAGGTGAATTCAGAGAGTAATGAGGCTGTGGGAGCTCTAAATCAGTTTAATTATAAAATACTTTCAAAACTATAATTACTTTCACAAATATACAAATAGAGACTATGCAGAATGGTGTTGAAGTCATGGGTCACATGAGATAGGTATTAATCTGTCTAGCAACTTATGTCCTATTAAAAGTGACTATAATTCTGAAATATTGACATTAAGTTATGAGGTTTAATTTAATTTCTTATAGTGACTTAATACCAATCATTTTCAAGGGCATCTTCAGGAATGCTTAATAACTCCACTGGTCCTTGAACTTGCTCTTCCTTCATCCTCTCCTTTCCATACTCTGAAGGATATATCTAAACACAAAGAAAAAGATCAATATAATTTGTACTTTTCTTTCAATATAACATTCGGAATCATCAAGATCCGAAACTTTCAGAATGAGTCACAGCTGGACTCAATTAATACAGCAAGGATGACTCACTTGGAGTCCTGGTGTGGCTCTGTGGGTTAATGCAGCAGACTGCAAAGCCGTTTGAACTGCATAGTTGGCAGTTCAAGCTCTCCAGTAACCCTATACAGGGTTACTCTGGGTCGGAGCTGACTTGATGGCACTTAACATCAACATATGAAACTAAAGCATCCTGAGGACTTTTCTTAAAAAAGTCATTTATTTTTATTTGACTAGATTTAAAGACTATTCTTGAGAATAAGAATATTTCTTTCAGCTTTTTCCTCTTTTCTCAAATTCCTATTAACAATCTCCTGAAATACAAGATTTAAGAAACATATAATTCTATTGTTTTGTAGTTAAAATTTTTTTTATGAGAAGTGTATATAATAAAAAGTATGCCATCTTAACCAATTCAATAATATTAATTCTATTCACCATGTTATAAAACTATCACCACTATCCAATTTCAGGTTTTCTTTTTTTATCACCCTCAACAAAAACTCAGCACCCATTCAGCTATAAGTTCCAGCTCCCTATTTCGCAGCCTCTGATAAACTTTTGTTTGTACTTTTCTTTGCTCTATGCATTTGTGTATTTCATATAAGTGGAATTAAGCAAAACCTGTCATTTTGTCTAACTTATTTCACTCAGAATGTTTATAAGGTTCATCCATGTCATATTACATATCAGTTTTATTTCTCTTTGTGACTGGAAAATATTCTTATATGGATATTCCACATTTATATATCCATTCCTCTGTTGATGGGCACTTGCAGTGTTTCTACCTTTTGGCTATTGTGAATAATGCTACAATGAATATTGGTGCACAAATATTTATGTCCATGTTTCAAGTCTCTTAGATATACAGCTTGGAGCAGAATTACTAGGTCACATGCTAATTCTAAGTTTAAACTTTTGAGGAAGTTTGTCTCAGGTTTCTGGAAGCTTTATCCCACATTTTTTTCTAAGAGTTTTAAGATTGGGTTTAGTCTTATATTTAGTCTGTTGATCCTTTTGTATTAATTTTCATATACGGTGTGAGGTAAGCGTTCAACTTAATTCTTTTGCTTATAGAGACCGAGTTGTCCCAGCACCGTTTATTAAAGAGATCGTTTTTGTTAAGTGCCATTGAGTCAGTTCTGACTCAAAGCAACCCTGTAAGAAGGTTTCCAAGGAGTGACTGGTGAGTTTTCACTGCCAACCTTGTGGTTCAAACTGACTATGCAGTCCAGTGATTTATCCCACAAGGTCATACAGATCATGCCTCCCTTATTGGCACCCTTCTCAAAATCAATTGGCAATTGATGTATACGTTATTTGAGAATTCTCAATCCTATTCCATTGATCAATATGCCTTTCCCTGTACCAGTAGCACATTGTTTTGATTAATGTAGTTGTGTGGGACAAAGAAGTTAAGTTTTGCCCTTGTCTCAGGTTTCTGAAAATAACCCTTTGAATAGCATGAACAATTAAGACGCCCTTTACTTTCCAAAATGGCCAGGTAAGTAGATGCTACAGAGGCCCCATTCTAGGCAAATTAAAGAACAAAGGGTACCATGATGCAGGCATGCCACTGTCATGCAAATTAACTGAAGCCAATGATTAAAGGACTCTGGACTTTGGAGCTCTTTTCTATCTTGCATTGGTGAGAACATATGTTAACAGGAGAGTTCTGGCAGCTTAGTGGTTAGGAGTCAGGCTGCTAACCTCAAGGTCAGCAGCTTGAAACTATCAGCGGTTCCATGAAGGACACGGTTTTCTCCTCCCATAAAAATTTACAACTGCAGGGTTGCTATAAATTGGAACCGACTCCACAGCACAACACCATCACCACCATGGCACTTTTCTGGGAACAGCAAAGATCCTGTGCCAGGAACTCTCCAGACCTTGCCTGATGCATCTCTTCACTTGTATCTGGTTACAATAAATGGTTAACTGTAATCATAGGTAACTGTCTCTGTGAATTTTGTACCATTATAATGATCTCACATGATTCCTTTGAGTCTAATTTGTGAGGCCTAGACTTAATCACCAGAAGCATCTCTTTGACCCAGGGCATGACCCAATAGTGCATTCAGTTAAACCAGGCAAGTGCTTAACTGCATGGGAAGCATTCTGAAGAAAAAATCTTTTTTTGTAGCCTTCCTGACATTGACATTAACATCAGTGACATTTTTCTTTACTAATATGAACAAAGGGTACTTTGTGCAATGTAATTAGATGTTCTATAGTTCCATGGGAGAAATATGAGGCTTTCTGCTCCCATAAAGATTTACAGCCTCGGAAACCCTGTACAGGGTTACTATGAGTCGGAACCGTCACCACCATAATGATCCCACCAGGGACAACTGGACTCTTGACTAAGCCTGTAGTGGCTAATTCAGAGGCTGCACAGGCAGTATTGCTAACTCGTGAGTGGCTGCTGGACAGAAGAGAGCTGCACAGGCGTGGATTCGTAAGGACTAGCTCTGGGTAGCTCGAAGATGGAGAATGGTGGCACAGGGAGTCGATGAGACACATCAGAGTCCTTCTAGCTTGTGAACTAGCCCCAAGTGTTTAGAGAGGTCTAACATGCAGAGCTGTGCAGACTCCTGTGCTTACAGCTAGTGTCTAATGACCTGATTTCAGGTGGACAGGGAAGTTTTGTGGGTTTTTTTGTCTTTTTTTTTTTTTTTTTTA